ATTAGTTTACGGAGTAGTTGGGAACGCGGGGGAAGGGGGTGGGGAGAAAGGGGGGAGGGAGGGAGGAGGAGACGAGAAACGTAATGCAATGCACATGTCGCACGCATCGAGGAATAACGCGCGCCTGTCGTTACAGCCGCTGCCGAAGGGATCGCTGGAACGGTAATTGCTTGTTATCTTTCACATTCTGACGCGTGCAATCTATCGTCGACGATAGCTCGTTCGTACGCGCGTAGATACTCGGCCGTTGTAAAATGATTCATTATGACATCCGTAATGCGATGCCTATCTCTTCTCTCTTGAAGTTTAACATTACGAGATGTCTCCTCGGATGAAAGTCTAAATGATGTATTTACGAAATTTATCGTTACGTTGAAACTGTTTGTCGCGCATTAGTTGCGCGATATATTTGTAGCTTGATATATTTTGTTTCAATTCTCCTAAAAGGTTTTTCGAAAAGCTTTTTTTTTTGTTATTATTAAATATTTTTCTAATTATTTGAAATTTTTGAGAAGCTCGAGTTTTACATACATGTATGTATGTAAATAGAAGAAATAGCCAAATAATTATTCTGTATTATTTTTTTTGCTTTTATCGTGAAATAAACGTATAAGTGAATAACGTTATAAAGTAGCGATTATTTAATCTGACAAATCCGTTTGACTCTATAAATTCGTCAAACTTTCATAATCGGTTTTTAATTTTTTCTAATAAAATCTCATCTCGGTCGTTAGGTGCCGACGCCGTGATCATCAAACGCGGGGTAAGCTGATTCTTGCAATTAAAGCAGGCCGAGGGGGAAGCGCTAAAGAGAAATTGCAACGGCTAGCCCGCGCGACGCTCCGCGAAACTTTATTTTTACCGTCGAACTTGCGCCCTTTCTTACGTCTCTCGAGTTAAATGAAGTCTTTCGCATTCGTTGCATTGCTTGAAATCTTACGGAAGTGTTTCGAACGCAGCCCCGAGTCCCCTTCTTGCAGTGAAGACGGACGGTCTTATCGGGGCGTTCTCCTTGTTAGCTTGAAAGCTATTAGGGAGTTTATGACCCCGTGTACTTTCACTCGCATCTATATATATATATATATATATATATATATATATATA